TCCATCATTTCATCCATCCATCCATCATCATTTCATCCATCATCCATCATTTCATCCATCCATCCATCATCATTTCATCCATCATTCCATCCATCCATCCATCCATCATCATTTCATCCATCATCCATCATTTCATCCATCCATCCATCATCATTTCATCCATCATCCATCATTTCATCCATCCATCCATCATCATTTCATCCATCATTCCATCCATCCATCTCTCTCCCATGGTTTATAAGAACATTAAACTACATTACCCATGATTCCTAGCTGCTGCAGGTCATTAAACTGAACCCAGACGCTCCTGCAGACGTTCATGTTGACAAACCCACACGGCAGGAAGTGATCCTGGTGGTTCAGGACACTTCCTGTGTTTGGCGACGTGTGAGTGAGCAGGAAGCAGAGGTTACCATGGTGACGAGTTCTTCCTGCTGGCCAGGTGGTGTGTGTGTGTGTGTGTGTATGTGTGTATGTGTGTGTTTCCTGTTGCTGCTGCAGGTGATGAAGAGATTCATGCAGAGATCATAGAGAAACACCTGGCCAGTACACAATAAACAACAGAAATGGTTAAAGATCGTTTAAATAAAGTTCCTCCACTGGATCCCAGTCCGGCTGGTCAGAACTGAACCAGAACCCTGTCCCTGTCCTCAGATCTGTCTCGGAACCGCCTCTCAGAGCTTCCTCTGGAGGTCTGCGTCTTCGTGTCTCTGGAGTACCTGAACCTGTACCAGAACTGTCTGAGGTCTCTGCCGGACAGCCTCCTGAACCTGCAGGCGCTCACCTACCTGAACCTCAGGTGAGTCTGTCACACAGGGGGCTTCTGGTGGGACTGTGTGGCTCTGCAGGTAACCCTTCTTTTAGTAATCCATTAATCTATAATATACACCTGCTGACCCTGCTGCTATCAAAGTAAAATTACACCAGTTGTATTAATTAATGCATTTTAAACTCCAGTTGTTTGTATTTATGTGTGTAAGGTTTGAGGAGGCATTAATWAAAAACWCTGAATCATTTTAACATCACTGAAAAAGTCTAAATGCTTAAATTTATTGTTAWGGACTGGAAAACTGAAGTTTTTTTTTGTTAAATAAAGCTAAATATAGCGTTCAGCAAGCATACACGTGTCAACAGTGTAACTGTTAGCAGAAGTGCTAACGTCGTAGCATTGTGTAAAACAAATAACATTCYGGCYGGATGAAAGTGTGYTGATTATAACAGTGTGTATTTTTACAAAGTTTCGAGGCAGATAAATTTRCCTCGAGGATTTTTCTWATTAAATTACTCGAATTATTGGAGGGATTGTTTCAGCCTCACTGCAGACCCAGCAGAACTCTGGTTTTAGAACCAGAACCTGCCTGGTTGGTTAAACTGCAGCATCCTTTCCACTCCGAGTAATGACCCGTGTGTTTGGCTCCTCCCCCTCCAGTCGGAACCAGCTGTCGGTGATCCCCCCCGTCCTCTGCAGCCTCCCYCTGAAGGTTCTGATCGCCTCCAACAACAAACTGGTTTCTCTGCCAGAAGAACTGGGTCAGCTGAGACTGCTCACCGAGCTGGTCAGTATGTGAGCCTGCAGACTGTGGGTTCTGCTCACCTGTGGTTCTGCTCACCTGTGGTTCTGATCACCTGTGGTTCTGCTCACCTGTGGTTCTGATCTTGTGGTTGGCTGCTGCAGGATGTGAGCTGTAATGAGATCCAGACGTTACCCTCTCAGGTGGGTCAGCTCGAGGCTCTAAGAGACCTGAACATCAGGAGGAACCACCTGATCCGACTGCCTCCAGGTACACACACACACACACACACACACACACACACACACACACACACACACACACACACACACACACAGAACCTCAGGATGGGTCTGTCTGTGTTCAGAGCTGGCTGAACTTCCTCTGGTGCGTCTCGACTTCTCCTGCAACAAAGTGACTTCCATCCCTGTCTGCTACCGACGCCTGACGCAGCTGCARGCCATCGTCCTGGACAACAACCCCCTGCAGAGCCCACCTGCACAGGTAATCAGGAAGTGAAGTGGCAGCAGCCTCGCAGCCGCTGAGGTTTAACGCTTGGCTTCCTGTCTGCAGATCTGCATCAAAGGAAAGGTCCACATCTTTAAATACCTGAACCTGGAGGCCAGCAAGACGACGCCGGAGCTGCCGGAGTTCGACAGACGACCTCTGACCTCCTGGTCTGACCTCACACAAACACACACACACAACGTGCTGCCTCTTCAAAATAAAAGCATGAGTTTCTGACCGCAGCTTTGTCCCGTCAGTGTTGAGGACGTGTTCGCCGTCCGTGCGTACGGCGCGCTCGACTCCGGCTTCAACAGCGTCGACAGCGGAGACAAGAGGTGGCTGGGTAACGAGGTCAGATTTGTGTTTTCAGCTGCTGTTAAACTCACCGTTACACAACACTGTTACACAACACTGACACATTTATTTAAAAACCACTTCGTGTCTGTAAGTTTTAGACCTGGGCTGTTGTTTAAATCATGGTGGGATGGTGTAAAACTGTGTTTATGTCAGACATCAGTGATGAAACTGTGATGTGGGCGGAGTTACACCTCAGGTTAAATCTGTAGTTAAACTTGGAACATGTCCGTCTGTTCGCTCAGCCTTCAGAGGAGCTGTCGGAGCTGCCGAGCAGAGTGGCCGAGATCAGCAAAGACCAGAGACGTGGAGGAGGAGGACCTGCGCTGCCTAACGGGACCTGTGAGAGTTCCTCTCTGAGCTCAGCTCCGAGTTCACGTCGGTTCACGTCGGTGCGAGGCTTCATCTTCTGCTCCGTCTTCCTGCAGATGTGGAGCTGGAGCAGATAGACTTCATCGACAGCTGTGTGGAGGAAGAGGAGGAGGGGAAGAGTCGAGGAGGAAGAGACAGCAGCAGCCTCAGCTCTCAGTTCATGGCCTACATCGAGAAACGCATCACGAGAGAGGTGGGAGCACCTTTCTGTCCGCTCTAAATCATTTGGGGTTCTCACCGACTCATTTTTAAAACTAGCTTTTATTTTGTTAAAAATACTCTTACTTCCTGTCTGTGCTCTCAGGGTTCTCCTGTGAAACACAACCTGTCCCGGACAGAAGACACAAAGAGACACAGCAGGTACAAACCGTAAACCAGTTCTTCTGTGTCCTCACTTCCTGTCTGACTTCCTGTTTTGTGTCACAGGAGCGTGGTTGATGGTGTAACAGCTCCCCCTAGTGCCCACAGTCAGGTACAACATCACCCCTGTCAAAAAACACAACCTGTGAGATGAACGCCTGATCAAGCACCAACAAAATGTTATTTCCTTTGTCTGGTCCACTCAGAGAGGAGGTTCTGGTTCTGGAGGTGTGGAGAGGATGAGGAGGGAAGCTCAGCTTGCTGCTCTGAGGTACGATGAGGAGAGGCAGAAAAACCGCTCCGTGCAAAGAGACGTTGCCTCCAGTTACACAAAGGTACAACCAGTTTAACCAGCACTACACCTGTTTACCCAGCTGCTGTTTTTACTTCCCACTGATTAACAACTGTTGTTGTTTTCTAGCATAAAGCTGCTCAGAGTTCTACAAAGTCTGGTCCAGACTCTGAGGTGAGGCTTCTCTCCCTTTGATTTTATGATTGTCCAGGTGTCTGAGAACTAGTCTCCTCTGTGAGACGTTCTACCTGACTGACAGCTGTTGTTACTCCTACTGTTACTCCTACTGTTACTCATGTTGTTACTCCTACTGTTACTCATGTTGTTACTCCTACTGTTACTCATGTTGTTACTCCTACTGTCACTCTTACTGTTACTCATGTTGTTAGTCATGTTGTTACTCCTACAGTCACTCTTACTGTTACTCATGTTGTTAGTCATGTTGTTACTCCTACTGTTACTCCTACTGTTACTCCTACTGTTACTCCTACTGTTACTCCTACTGTTACTCATGTTGTTACTCCTACAGTTACTCCTACAGTTACTCATGTTGTTACTCTTACTGTTACTCATGTTGTTACTCCTACTGTTACTCATGTTGTTACTCTTACTGTTACTTATGTTGTTACTCCTACTGTTACTCATGTTGTTACTCCTACTGTTACTCCTACTGTTACTCCTACTGTTACTCTTACTGTTACTCATGTTGTTACTCCTACAGTTACTCCTACAGTTACTCATGTTGTTACTC